CTTCTGTCTTATAATTGTTCATTTATTTCATTCTTCAATTCATTTCAATTTTATCATCCTCGGAACTTTCCACTTACCATGGTAACCCTTTGGGCAGCCGACACACTGGAACTTGCCGGGCAGGTTAATGCAGTCCACACCAGGGTGACAAGGATTGTCGAGACATTCGTCGACATCGACGCATGTCGGATTTAGCTTGTCACCTGACGATTTGAAACCCCAATCGCATATGCACTTGTACGTGCTCTGGAAAGAGAAGAACATTATTTATATCCAAATGCAGACTCCATGCTGGTTGCATGGGCGGAGTCAGATATACCGCGGTAGCTTGCTCACTGTTGCGCAATTTTTTTCAAGAAAGCGAAAGGAGGAGCGCGTCAATGAACAAAGCATGATGGTAGGCCTGACTCCGCCCATACGTCATCATGGAATGCGTCCTCAGGTAACATACGTCTGTCTCCGATGTGTCGACGTCTATACAGTGGCCATGTGGCCCGCACAGTTCTATTGACCGCGAGCATGTGGACTGGCGATACTGACAGAGAGGACCATGGTAGCCAGGGCGACAATCACATCTAAATTATGAACGCTGGTGTGTAGGTAGAGGAAGAGGAGAGGCCAAAACAGTAGTGGTGTGTAGAGGAAGAGGAGGCAACCTATAAAGCTATGGTCCACGATGATCGCATGGGAAGGGAGTTCCAGTCATTGTGCTCTCCTCAATGGTGCGCCCCTCCTCTTTGCCGTCTCAAGAGGAGAGACGCACTTGTGAGAAAGGCACAATAACACCGCTTCGGCCTTTTTCTTCGCCCACACGATCAGCATGGACTGCATCTCCAAAGCGACAGACAGTACTGAGGTCTTGACCCATGACCACGGAACCTTATGCGTTCCCCTACCCTTGTCCAGAAATCCTGAACTCACCTGAAGCCGGTGTCGTGATTCTCACACGTTGCGTTGTTCTGACATCCTGCATGGGTTCCTTCATAGATAGCGCATTCATCGATATCTTCCTCGCAATTTTCACCCTGAAAATTTTGAGCCCTAAGTTAGCGCTAGAGCGATGGGACGGTTAGCAACGTACCGTACGATACGGAGGGCACAAACAATTGTACTTCTTGCCGAATCGTGGCAAGCATGTACCTCCGTGCTGACATGGCTTGTTTGCACATCCATCCATGGTTAGCAAGTCGGCTAAGGCTCTAAACACTAATTATAAGCACTCTAGTATCAGTGATACTGTGTAATAACTTGTAGTGGATCACCCTCTCCTTTGAACCGGCTTTATTGTAGGATTCAAGTTAAGGGGCTTCTTGAATAGCTCACATCTTTAAAGTAACGGGCACGAAGGGTTGCCGGAGCAAGGACCCTTCCTGTCCGTGACTTGAAGGTGTGAGCTATTCAGGTTCCCATAATGGGTCAATTATTTTAGGCTTGTCCCCAACCAACGTTACATACTTAGCAGGCAGCGTTCACCAGCCGGTCACCAACGTCTAACAGTCGACTACCGTTTTGAGCAACCGTTCGGCGACCGGAAAGTGTAGATGTCAATCTGCGAAAACGGGCCAGCGGGCTCTACGCAGCATCTTTACCAGCGTCCAGAGAGCGTAGAGAGTATGAGAATAGGAGGGGGAGACAAGCTGCGACTAGGCGTCGTGAAATTGTGGCGTGTGCAAACCATAACCGTACTACTACATAGACATGGAATCGCTGCCAGTGCGGAGGGCACCGTGGTCACTCGTAGACGCATAACATCGATACATAATTCCGTGGTCCCTCCGAGACAGCGAATGGTAGCCTTGGGGCGACGCTCGTAAATTAAATCTATCCATACTTCTGGAGCCTTCGAGACACTGATGGTAGCTGGCGGACGCTGGTAGACGCTGTCTTTCGCTGAATTCATATCTACACTTTGATAGTCGCTGACGCTGACGGACGATCGAAACGCTGATGGTCGCTGGTTGTCGCTGCCACAAAGCTATGAACGCAGCCTAACGGTTTCCCGATCTACAGTTGGTATCGTTACAATCAATCGTGGCGGCTTCGAGTTAGATGAAATGAGGCCACCCGTGAGCTTTTCTGCCACCGGTCAATTTCTTCTCAAATCAATCGCTAGCCGATTGGTAGAGCCGTTGGTAGAGCAAGTGGTACCACCCCAACTGACTGTGACGTTATCAACTATGAATGCGTACATAGTTCATATTACAAAGCAGTTTCGAATCCTTCCATGATATCTAATGAAGTCGCTTATCGCCTTCCCTGAGGTCGATATGCAAAGCTGTTGTTTCGTGGGGAAGTTCCAAGGAGCAGCTTCCACCTCTTGGTGTAAAGTTCCCAAATTGGCGGTGAATGATTCTGGCGGAAGTCTCGCTTTAGCCTAGCCATCCTTTGAAGTCAAAGGAAATTTGACGCGGACAAGGATCTCATACAAGCGAATGCTGCGCTTCCTGCACCTCGGGCTCCCTTATGACGATGAATCAACTTCAGTGCCCACAGTTTCATCGCTTTTCGCAATCGCTGTTTTAGTGTAAACAACATTTCAACGAAAGCTATCATTTCCAAGCTATGTACGATTTTCTGTTAGCGATGATTTTAAACGTCCAAAGTGTCTCTGCCCTGATCTCCAAGAGAACTCCAACTTACTTAAGGCTCCTTTGCAACCGCCCCATAAATCGGCGTATTCTCACGTCTTTGATCGTCTTGTTCTGACGCCATTCTTGTAGTTCGTTGATCTTTTTAGTGGAGTTTGCCACCTGAAAGTGAGTCATGGTTCCGCTGCGAAGTCACTCATTGATTTCGCAATAACGTTCTTACCACGGCGGTTAAGGGGCGTGTTCATGGACTTAGTAAAGAGCGCATTGGCAACTACGTATCTA